TGAGTAGCAGCTTTTGCTTTTATCTGTGAACCAAAATCATCTCCTTTAGAAGATAAGTTTGATACTAATCAAGAGCAGGGCATTAGCTTTTTGAGTAGGAACTTCATAGCATTTGGGGAGATAGCAAAGAATCTTTTTTAACCTCTGATCACTACTTAGAGATCTCAGCTAGAAGGATGTAAGCCTGAGGAGACAATGTCTCCCAGCTACAATCTTAGCAGCAGCAGGCTGTGCAACACCCATCTGCACTGCAATGGTCTGGTGCAACTCCCAGACCCCAGTTCTCCAAATGTTATTGTGAGGGAGAAGGGATTATTTATTGACTGTGTGAGAAACACCGACTCACATCTTAGAATTTAAAGAGGACAAAGTCACCGAAGCAAAGGTTAAAAAAATAATTAATACGAAACTGCGCTGAATCGGGTGCACCAAAAATAGATGCACGATGATCTTTTAGCTTTCAGGTATTTTATACCCTTATCCCGGCCGCTTGAGCTTCTGTCTCCCTTCTCACTGGCTGAGAAGTTGGAGCTCACATTCTTCCCGACCGCTTGACCTATTACAGGTTTATTTTGCACTTTTTTTCCCCACATAAGGCACACGTACACCTATTCTACGAAATGATTATCCTAAACACGCCTTTGATTAGCTGATTATGCTATACGCTATTTCACAGTCTTTGCTACCATCTACTTGGCAGATTTACTGTCCAAGACTGGTTTCTTTGGCCTTATTGATTCTCCCCTACCCTCTGGGTTCCTGTGTCAAAGGCCGTGTTCCAGTCTGTTTCTCTTCACCTAGGTAATGCTCTGCGAACAAGGATCCCTTGACAGACCATGGGCATTTCTGGGGATTAATTGGATACAATTTATTAGACTCTACTACTACTAAGACTTCTTCGTTAGTACTATCACACTAACAATGATACATCAATTAGCGGAAGCAAAACTTAGCTCATTTCCCACAGCTGGGAGAAAGTGAAGGAAAGATGGCACCGGTGTCCTGGAGCAATGTTGAGCAGGTGTCTCAAGTGTTTGAAACGTGGGGCCTAAGTGATACGATGCTGGAAGTCAAAGAGTTTCTTTTATTAGTATCAGCAGCACAGAATCATAGAATAGTCTAGGTTGGATGGGACCTTTAAGATCACTGAGTTCAACCAACAACCCAATACTGCCAAAACCGCCACCAAACCACGGCCCTAAGCACCACATCTACCTGTCCAGGGTGTACCAGGGTCTGTACCTCCAGGGACAGGCAGTGCAAGAGGCGAGGGACGAGACAAAATAAAGCCGACCATTGCTTGTGCCAGGCAGGTGGCACCCTACAAGGGACAAACCCACCTGCACAGGGCAAACGTTAGCAACTGCTCAGTTTGGGGTGAAATATAAGGCGTAGGGTTACCTGCACAGGTGAGGTGGTCACGATAACAAAAGAAACCCGCAGGTTTAAGTGCTCATTTATATAAATGACTAAGCTTCGGAATACGTGTGGTTGCTGAAGGTGAAAACGCACCACAGAGGCAGGAAACTAGAAGGCAAATGAAAATAAACGTATCACTTCCTTTTTTTAAAGAAGCAACACGGAATTTTTCCATCCGTTTCCAGGTGCCCTGGCTGCGGGATTTCTTGACATTCGCCGTTTGGCACCAGAAATACCTTGGCGCCTTTGGGGCGGGCAGCCCGCAGGGCAGCACCCCCGCACGCCCACCGGGACAGCCCCGGCCATGCCGGGCCGCTCGCAGGGCCTCGGGCCGCCGCTCCGGAGCGGAACACGCCACCGGGGCGATAGGTGGGTCGGCGAGGAGGGCGGGCAGCGCCGGTTCAACGAGCGGCTCTTCCCTTCCTGGCCCCGCCGCGGAGCTGCCGCCGCCGCCCCCTCAGCCCCGCGGCGGCGAGGCCCGGGGAGC